AAAATCAAGTAAAATCGAACCACAAGCAATTTCAACATTTCCATCTATTTCAAAAACAGACTTGAAACAGATGCAGTTAGCTGACAAAACTGTAGGAAGGCTTTGGTACTACTGGTATTCTACTCACCCGCCCACTAATCATCAACTGATGAAAGAAACTAAGTCGGTGCGCAAACTACTTCGCAATTGGAAACGGATCCATGAAGAAGATGGTGTCCTGTATTGTGTTGTATATGATGCAGGAAATAAAATTAAGCAACTGATCCTTCCAAGTATGTTGAAAGAGAAAGTCTTGAATGCTGTACATGACCAAGTGGGTCATCAAGGTGCCGAGAAAACTACTGCGCTAGTTAGAAGTCGATGTTATTGGCCAAGTATGCTAACTGAAGTCGCTGCCTGTTGTAAATCATGTCAGAGATGTACAATAGCCAAAGCAGGGAAGCGATTACATCCAACAATGGGTTCCCTAGTTGCTTCCAGACCACTTGAGATACTAGCCATGGATTTTACATTTCTGGAACCCAGCTCAAACGGTACTGAAAATGTTCTTGTTATGACGGATATGTTCACTAAATTTACTCAGGCTATTCCCACAAAAGACCAAAAAGCTATTACAGTTGCCCGTGTACTTGTCCGTGATTGGTTCACACGATTTGGTGTACCTCAGCGCATTCACTCTGATCAAGGACGCAACTTTGAGAGCAAAATGATTCAAGAACTCTGCAAAATTCACGGTGTAAGAAAGAGTCATACCACACCCACAGTCAGCTGGCGCACACGTGATAATAAAATAAATACGATATTTAGTATATGGGGGCCGCCATCTTGAATGACGCATAAAACTAAATAAGAGACAAGTTGTGAAACGCGTTTTTCAGATTCCTACAAATCAGGACATAAATACCAATCTTTCACAAAAATACGGTCCGTTGGGGTTATATTAAGCCAACCGATAACAAAATTCGGCCGAATTCGTCGTTTTTGTGTGGAAAAATCCCTTGCATACAAACACCTAATTACGCGAAGAACATAGAACACTAAGCCGGGGTATTTTTCTATACTTCTGTGTGCAGGTTTCTGTAGTATATCTTTGTTATATACACACAGAATTAGGAAATAAAAAAAAACGGATATGTGATTGGACTCGATACCGTTGT